AGGATTCTGCATAAACTGACTCACTACACTGACCGCAAATGAGATATCAGGTTGAGTGATGGTTAGGTAATTAAGCTTACCCACCAACCTTCTGTACCTTTCCGGATCCTCAAACTCCTCACCTGCATCACTACTCAACATTCGGTTCCATTGGTGTTTTAGCTGGTCTAGCACCCAACAACCCTGTTTCTTCTAGTAGATCAAGAACATATTTCCTCTAGCACAGATTAATACCATTCTTGGACCTCGCTACCTCTATCCCTAAGAAGTATCTTAATTTGCCAAGATCCTTTGTCTGGAAGTGATCATGCAAGTAAGTCTTCAACATGTCAATCTCTGGTCTGTCATTGCCTATGATAACAATATCATCTACATATACCACCAATAGGATCTTCCCAGCATTGGATTCATAGCTGAATACAGAATGGTCAACTTGATACTGTTTCATTCCAAACTTCTTCACCACTTCACTAAATCTCCCAAACCATGCACGGGGAGATTGTTTAAGTCCATAAATAGCCTTCTTAAGTCTACATACCTTGTCACCCTCCCCCTGAGCAACAAACCTTGGTGGTTGCTCCATGTACACTTCCTCAAGGAGATCACCATGTAAAAAAGCATTCTTGATGTCAAGCTGAAACAAGGGCCAATCAAACATAGCAACAAGAGAAATCAGAACACGAACTGACCCAATTTTGGCAACTGGAGAGGTGTTTGTGTAATCGATACCAAATAGTTGTGAATAACCTTTGGCAACTAACCGAGCTTTCAACCATTCAACACTCCCATCAGGTAAGTATTTAACTGTGTACACCCACTTACAACCCACAATATGCTTACTAGGCGGAAGAGTGGTGAGGTCCCATGCATGAGTACGAGTCAGGGTCAAGAGTTCTTCTTCCATTGCTTGGCGCCACCCTGGAGAAGTGAGAGCTTCCTGGCATCCTTGGGAGCAGAGACAGAGGATAACATAGAAACAAACTGGCGATGGGAAGCCGAAAGGTGAGATACAGAAACATAATTGGAAATGGGGTGAAGAGTGCAACTGCATTTACCTTTCCGCAAAGCAATAGGGAGATCAAGGTCAGAAATGGGGGTGGGGCTGGGGTGGTAACAACTGCCGGATCTGTCGATGGTGACGAAGCTAGAGGAGGAGCCGGTGCCTAACGATGTGTATACACTTGTCGGATAGGTGGTCATTCCGTAGGTAGCTGCACTGGAGGCAACGACTTGGTCACAACTGGAACAAGAGGAACAGGGTCCTCAACTGGAACTGGAAGAGGAGGTGATAGCAACGGAAGAGAAGAAACATCTGACATGGAGAAGAAAGGAACAAACTCAAAGAATGTAACATCAGGACATACAAAAGAACACTGAGAACTAGGATTATAACACTTATACCTTTTTTGAGTCCTGGAATAGCCAAGGAAGATACATTTAGTGGATCTAACATCTAACTTGTCCATTCCAGGCCCAAGATTATGAACAAAACAAACACATCCAAAAACTCTGGGAGTAAGGGGAAAAGGAGACAACGTGGGAAACAAAACAGAGAATGGGAACTGACCTTCAAGGATAGACATGGACATGTGGTTAATAAGGAAGCAAGATGTAAGTACAACATCACTCCAATAGGGTTTGGGAACATTCATATGATGTAAGAGGGACCGAGCAGTTTCCAAAAGGTGATGGTTCTTTCTCCCAGCCACCCCATTTTGTTGAAGGGTGTAGGTACACGAGGTTTGATGGATAATGCCGTGTTGTTCCAAATATTCTTGAAATGGTGTGTAAAAGTACTCGCGACCATTATCAAAATGGAGTTTAATGTGTACACCAAATTGATTGCGAATCTCAACATAAGATTTTTGGGAAATAGAAAATAGTTCACTCCTTTCTTTCATAAGGTAAAGGCATGTCATCCTTGAATAACCATCAACAAAAATTACAAAGTACTTGTAACCATTATAAGACTATTCTGTTTGGACCCCAAATGTCCGAATGGACTAAAGAAAAAGGACTCGATGTACAACTATCAACTCTAGGATGAAAGGGAACACAATGATGTTTCCCAAACTGACACGACTCACAATTCAAAGTAGAAAGATGGCTCAACGACGAAACAAGTAACTGAAGAGCTTGAAGAGATGGATGACCAAGTCTGTAGTGCCACTGATGAGGAGAAAGGGATGTCTGAAGGGCTGTTGTCAAACTACCTCCATCAAGATAATACAGTCCACTAGCTTCATGTCCACCAATCTTCATCCCCGTCTTGAGATCCCAAAACACACAAGATGAAGGATAAAAGGTTATAGAGCAATTAAGAGACTTAGACAATTTACTAACAGACATCAGGTTAAAGGGAAACTTGGGAACATATAAAACTGATGATAGGGATAATGAGTCTGTGTCAACATTACCAACACCACATATGGCAGATGTAGAGCAATTGGCAAGAGTAACAGATTGTGATGTGGAGGACGAAGAAATGGATGAAAGCACACTTGGAGTCCCAATCATATGATCGGAAGCTCCAAAATCTATAATCTAATGGGAAGATGTGGATGCCAGACAAGTCGTACTTGAGTGTGCAAGGGTAGCCGTGTTCTGCTGAGATGTACCTTGAATGAACCGCTCATAATCATCTCTGGGAACACTCACAATCTCCTTTTTGGAGGCATCTGTAGATGTAGAGGGTATCTGATCAGTATGTTGCGATTCTTGTCTCGAACTACCACCATTTACGGCTGCATGATTTGCCTAGGTTGAAGGTGGGCCATGTAGATCATAGCAGAAGTTGATAGTATGTCCCTCCATACCACAATGTGTACACTTCCTCTGAGTATTACCACATCCTCTACACCGGTCTCCCCGAGTCTCAACCTCCAACACGACCACCACCACAACTATACATTTCACCACCACCACGACCATACATGGGTCCACCACCACTATCACGGCCAGGTTGACCTCCTCTACCACCACGACCTCCCCCTTTCGTAACTGCAAATGCAGACCTATCCGATATAGTGAAATTCTTTGTGGGTCCAACTGAGATCCTCCGAAGGTGAGCAAACACTTCCTCAAGAGAGGGAAGAGCAGATCCACCTAGTATGTATGCCCTTATTGGTTCATATTCAGACTTCAGCCCTACTAAAAATCTGGTCACATCCAACTGCTCTCTCTGTTGTTGCTGAATTTTGACATCAGGTGTAAGAGGGTGATACACATTCAACTCATTTCGCAGATTTCTCATACTTTCATAATAGTCCTCAAGACTCTAATTCCCCTGTTGCAAATTGAAATACTCTTGGTACAGTTGGTAAACCCTAGTAGTGTTATCTTGTCCAGAATAAAGCTTCCTTGCATGATCCCAGACCTCCTTGGCTGTATCTAAAAACATGAAGTTCACACTGATTTTGGATTCCATGCTGTTCCATAGCCATGTCATAATTTGAGCATCATTTTGCTCCTACTCATCATATCCCGGAGAATCAATTGGGGGTTTATCTTCCCTCACATGCTTCACTTTCTTTTTGGCTTTTAGAAAAACTTCAACAGACTTAGCCCAAGGCACATAATTCTTACCATTCAGTTTTATAGAGGTCATCTGCACATTCAAATAATCAGAAGGGACCATCACACTCGATTTGCATTCACTGTTGTCTCCCATGTCTGCACAAGGAAAAAGGGAGAAATTCTACCACTAGGTTGTCACTCTACTGCACTAATTAATCACCACACTACACACTAACAACTGAATACTACTAGGGTTCCTAGTATCATAGGTTTCAGCAACAACACTCACAACTCTTCACCACTGTTAGCAACAACACCACTGCTGCTGTCCACTATCAGCACTATAAACCCTCACAATACATCTCACGAATAGGATTCAGTTCTGCAACATATATAAAAAAAAAAAAATCTGCTACATAACACAATTTGATTCAAAGATCATGTACCTGCCGAATAGAGGGTACAGAATCTGTCACCATCACAAAACCAGCCCTCTTCGAACTACTGAGTAGAGGGTTTTCTACCAACACACACAAAACCACAACAACAGCACTCATTGGAGGCATGAAAACCCCCAGAAGGAGAAAACAGCCAGTCCTTTTTTTTTCTTTCTGGGAAACTCCTAGCTATCAGTGAGAATTCTGCAAAACCCTAGAAGAGAATGCTCAGAATAGAGAAAAAAGAAGGCGACTGATCTGAACTGATTATCGTGGCTCTGATACCATGATAAAATTCAGATAAGGTGTCCGTATGATTTCAGATAAGAAGGAGAAGAAGATGGAGAAGGAGGAGGAGAGGAAGAATAGTTTCAGTCGAACTAGAGAGAAAACTTGTCTTCTCTGGTCGGCGATTCTTTATTTATACTTTTCTAAAATAAACAAGAATTACTATTGTGCCCTCACTTAAGTGAGAGCCACATCAGCTAAACAATTAACATATAAATTAATATAAAATGTCTATACTACCCTTCTACAGCCGACTCTAACAGTAACAAACCCCACTCATTGGATCAACTGTTATTGCTGCTCCAAATATCTTCAATGTATAAATCCAATGAATGGTAGAAGATTTAATCAGTTCCATGCTTCTAGCAGCATATCTAATATTCTAATTTAATTTCTTAAAAAATCTATGACTATGATCTAACTTAAACATGGCATTTCCTAACCTGCATACTAAGTTGATAAAAGTAAGTAAATAAGGGACACCAGCAGAAGAAACAAAATCAAATTACAATAAAGTTCCTAGCACCTATAATATTTTGAATAAAAAATAAAGTTACCTAATTAAAGAAAGTGGAATGTAAAAGATTGGTTTGGCTCAAGACAAGAGTTCTTAAGTAAAAACCAGCCTTTGGTACACCAAGTTAGTGTTGGTCACAACAATTTTGGAACTTTCTTTTTTCTATTTATCTCCATTTTTTTTAAATTGGATATGTAACTAATCTGAGTTGTTTGCATGCTGACCATCTGTCATAATTACAGGTTGCTGCAAATTATGTTGCCATGGTATCATCTGGACAAATATTTGATAGGTAATTTTCATCACCAATTTGCAGATAATTTAATTTATTTTGGTGTTTAGAAATGGAATTGGTTGTTTTTTTCTTATTCTGAGTTTATTTTAATACTGTAGCATGGGGAATCGAGTTCTTATTCTATTCTTCCCATCTTTGATTCCAGTTCCTTGGAGAAAGGTCAACCTTATATTTTCCGTGTTGGATCTGGCCAGGTAAGCTATAGAAGTACCTCCCAGTCAATTCAAAACTTAAAAACTACACTCATCCTAAGTTGATTACCATATGTCACAGTTGATTAGCCTAGATAATGGAGAACTTTCATTTTAGAATTTTGATCAGCTGACCTAAATGTGAAATTGTGTAAACTGATGGTCTGGCTGCACTTTGAATTCTTAGTTCAACTCCAATTTTATTGAGTCCAAGCTTCTATAGTTAGAGGTATCCTTTCAGTTAGTGAAACTTGAAGTTTCTAGCCTTACCATAATGCAGAAATTTATTTGATTCACTGTTCTGCTTCTGTATGTTTTTATTGATTATTATTTTTTGCTACTAAAATAGGTGATTAAGGGACTTGATGAGGGGATTTTGAGCATGAAAATTGGTGGGAAACGTCGACTCTACATTCCTGGACCTGTAAGTTCTTTAATTGATGGTTTTCCTTTATTTCTACCTTCATGCCATCTTTCCTACAACTACAACAGTAAATCAGTAAGCTAAAGAAATTGGTCCTTAAAATGGCTACCAAACCATAAATTCTAAATTTAAAAAGTAAGATTCATTAACATTTTTGTCTCTGTTTTCATTTCTTTCTTTCCTTTTTTTTATTTTTTATTTTTATTTTGGTAGGACGAGGTGAGGGATCTCTGTTAATAATTCCACCTCTCTTGACCAGTAAATAGCTTGCTCATTCTCTAGCCAATAATTGGGGGGGGGGGGGGTAACAGGGATGAACTATTCTGGGGAACATCTAAATGGTTTTGTAAAAGCATGAAAAGGGACTAGGCAACAGTAGTCATCAGATGGATGCTAACCAACCTCTTCACCATTCACCATTTATTATCCTCTGTATTTCCATCACTGTTCATTATATTATTTAATTAACTAATTAATTAATCTTTTGGTTTACCCAGTTGGTCAAAACCTATTTTTCAGTGTGTAATGCTCCCGTTTCATTTCTTTACAGCTGGCATTTCCTAAGGGTCTCAATTCAGCGCCTGGAAGGCCAAGAGTGGCTCCAAATAGTCCTGTTATTTTTGACGTGAGTTTGGAATACATACCAGGTCTTGAAGTGGATGAAGAGTAAGAATATTCTATGTACATATTTTGTTATCCTACTCCACCACTTCACTTCTTTCATTACAGGAAGTAGCAGAGAAACTTATGTTGCAAGTGTTTCGGGTCCTCACATTATTCTTTTCTTCATTTGTTGTATATGCCCATTTGTGAATTTCATAACTGTGATTTTGAAGGTCAAAGGCTTGACATGATCTCATAAGCATTGACATTTTAAACTCTCCTCTGCAATTTGTTATTTGTGAAAATTCAATGGTTCATTAAATAACCAGAACTAGTTTGATTTTCATAAAGAAAAGCAGAAATTCATCATCATCAATCCAAGCCTTATCCCAACTAGTTTGATTTCCATGATCATGAAAGTTTGGCAAAAGTTTAGTGTTGGCTGCCAATTCGTAGTAACCCTCCTTTATCTAAGCTCGGAGCCGGCAGTGAAAGGCAAGTTCACACTGGCGCTATTAAAATCAGAGAATGAGAAGCAATGCTAGAAGGGTTGTCTTCCCCAAGATATTATACATGAGCTTGCACGTAACGAGGGGCTAAGTGCATCTTTAATGTTATGCATCTGTTGTCATGCAAAAATGAATGCCTGTGGAGAAGATGTGCAACCTTCGACCATTACTTTCTCAAGATAAGCTTGTTATGCCACAGCTGGGTGCAACTTGGGCGGGCCCAACCCGATCCCGACTGACCCAACCCGAAATTTTATATAGCTGGGTAAGGGTTTGGATTTTTGGTCTAACCTTCTGATACACATACCTTGTTTTATTATTTCTTTATAGTGAATGATTCCTTTCTATGCCCATGAGGCATTTTTTTTTAAGCTTTTAGGCATTGTTTGTATAGACTTTTTAAAAACAAAAAGCATAATATGTTGTTTGGTTTGGGTGTTTTATACTTTTATAAAGTGACCCGACTTTAGTGGGTCCCTATTCTTGAAGCATAGTACAGGTTGAGAAGTTATCCCAGACCTAATGGATAAATCGAAAGAGATGAATCAATCAGGTAATAAGTCAAACAAAGTATAGAAGATTAGGGATGGTAACAAGTAGGGCCATGTTTGGCAATGTTTCCACATGTTCCTATTCTTTTAGAAATTCCTGTTCCAAAACAAGAATTTTATTTCTTGCTCTTCAGGAGTAACAGATACGTTTGGCAAATTGTTCTTCGAGAACGTATTTTTGTTCTATAGGAACAGAAATAGCATCTGGATAATGAAATTATTTCTTAACACTAGTTTTGCAAATTCATCGACATTAAACCTAAAATTAACCATAAAAAACATGTGTCATTGTCATAGTGATGTCTTCATATTGTCACCACCTAATCCTTGATCACTTGAGGATCAAAACAAAAATAAGAACAATAAAACAAAAGCCCAACATGCCATGATGCAACAACACCCACAAGTAGTAATGTCTACAAATTGATCCCTATTTTGTGTAATTGGTTCTTTTCGCACTTTAACATGTCTGCCACCATCACGGGGTATGAATTGGTCTACCCAAATGAAGTCATTTTCCTGTGTTTGCTTATAAAAAACTATTATTAAATACCTAAAATATTTCATAACAAAAACATATAACCGATAAGAGATGTACCACTCCAGTAGGGCATTGATAGAACCACCATCCATAATTTCTTTCCGTTTTTGCCATAAACAGATGCATCTAGCCACGTCTACAAGCACAAATTGGGCGTTGATGTACCACTCCAGTAGTTTCCCTATGTTTTCATTCATATAGATCTACTAATTCTTTTATTATTTTATCTATTTTTATTTTTTTTCAAAGTTAAAATGTTCATCTTGCATCAAATTGATAACAGAATACATAACAATCCAACACATGGACAAAATGTTCATAACACATAACAAAGGACAATCTTCATGATATTAAACATATAACAAAAAGACAGAACAAAACACAATGATGGGATTAGAGAAGAAACCCCACCCATTCAGCATAACATATAACCATCGATGGGATTAGAGAAGAAACCTCACCCATTCGGCATAACATATAACAAATGCAAACAAAATAATATAAGAAAAACAATTTCAGATTGCATCATTTAGAGATTGTTTAAAATTCATCTTTACGGTGGGATCAAAAACGATTTCAGGTGAATTTGACCAGAGAAAATGTGAGTTTAAAACAGAGCGCATGATACAAAACTAGGTACGAGGACGAGACAACATACCTGTTGACGCTTTCTTGGCTGGAAATCTCGTCAGTGCTTTCTATCGTTTACTCGTTGTCTGGTTGGAGCCAAGGGAGTCCCTCCTTCCTCTGAGATTTGTAGCGGCAAGTTGGAAGAGTTCATTGTCGAACAAAAATTAGGGCTTCTTTCTATCATTTAGTGCGAAATATCCAAAATACCCCTTCTCTCACATGGGAGACGTTAACACGTGTTCATTAATAGGGGTTAACGTTGTGGAAACCGCATGTTCCCTAGGCTATTCTCACGAGAGAACACCTTTTTTTTTTTTCTTACACCAAACGCGTTTTTGCTCCGTGAGAACACCAGGAATGCATGAAATGTTCAAGCGGAATGTTGCCAAATAAGGCCTAGGGTACCTGTGAAATTGTGCTACCCATTCTTGAACCTACTTAAGCACCCTTAGGCCATGTTTGGGAGTGCTTAAAAATAAGTGCTTATTTGGGCCATTAAGCACTTATTGGTATTTGGGAAATAAGTCTGAAATAAGTGCTTATTTTAAAAATAATGGCTTACTTTTTAAGCCCAATTTTCCAGCTTTTTTTAAGTGCTTATACAATAAGCACTTATTCAATTTTTTCTTCCAAAATTATCCCTAGTTGAATTTTAAAATACCACTTATAAAATTATCCCTAGTTGAATTTTATAAAATTACTTTTATGAAAGCACTTTTATAAAAGTACTTTTTTGAAAGCATTTATACAAAAGCACTTTTATAAAAGTATTTTTACAAAAGCACTTTTATAAAAGTATTTTTACAAAAGCACTTATAAGAAAGTACTTTTATGAAAGCACTTTTACAAAAGCACTTTTATGAAAGTACTTTTATGAAAGCACTTTTACAAAAGCACTTTTATGAAAGCACTTTTACAAAAGTGCTTTTGTAAGGGTACTTTCTTAAAAGTGCTTTCATAAAAGTACTTTCACAAAAGTTCTTTCGTAAGGGTACTTTCGTAAAAGTACTTTTATAAAAGTGCTTTTGTAAAGTGCTTTCATAAAAGTACTTTTATAAATGTGCTTTCGTAAAAGTGCTTTCATAAAAGTACTTTCATAAAAGTACTTTCATAAAAGTGTTTATAAAAGTACTTTTGTAAAAGTGGTTTTATAAAATTAATTTAATAAAAGTGCTTTCAAAGGGTATATTTTGAAAATTTGAAAGAAAATGAAGGACAAGATAGTCACAAATGCTTATATAAGTGCCTATTAGAAAAAAAGACTACCAAACGCCCAATATAAAATAAGTGCTTATTTTAAGAAATAAGCACTTGAAAAAGTCGGGTACCAATTTTAAGCACTTATTTTTAACTTAAGCACTCCCAAACATGGCCTTAATCCAAAATGCGTTAAACCTGTCATAACCCATTTCATCTAATTCAAATTTAGTTACCTTAATTAATGTATATTAAATTCACCATAACTGCATAATTAACTCAATTAATTTACAAACCCGTGAAATTAGTGTTTTAAGTCCGCCATTGACCTAAACAATTGGACCATTTGAATCATCACCTGGTCAGGATTCTTGGGTCTAGTTTACTTGAAACTTGGCTTTTGAACAAAAATTGTTCAAGCTTATGTAGTTGAACCCATTTGACTTAACCACCAAGTCACAAATTACACACTAAAACTTTTAGAGGCCATAACCTTGCACTAGCTGTTTGGTTGAGGTAATCTTTATATCAAATAGGATAGTTTTTTGAGATTTCTGTGTCCCAAGGGTCTAAAGGTGCCTTGCCCCACTATTTTGCCAAAAAAGCTATTTTCACCTCAAGTCTCAATTTTTAGCATTTTTATGAATAAAAAATAACAACTAAAACAAAAGATATAAATTTAAACATAAACTAATATTTATACATATATATTATGTGTAAAATATAATTATACATTAATATAGCATATCATAGTCTCACCCAATCAACATAGATGGTGGAATCAATAACCTACAACTCGAAGGCAAAAAACAGTTCAACCTCTAGGTAAGTTTTTTAAACATTGATGAAAATTGCTTGAGAAAAGTACTCTGCAGCTCATTGCAGAATTCTGAATTACAGCCCCCCATAGTTTACTAGTAACCCCCCCCCCCTCTATAAACCGCATCTTGTCCATGGATTTGGCATCAATCCACGGTCAGGATTCATCCCCCCTGTACGGTGGGGCTAAAGAATTCTAAGCTGGGCTGAATAGTCATTCTCCCAAATTGCTCCACCCAGGCACCCCTCACTGAACCCACCTAAGCATCATTGATCCCCAAACACGTTACATCTATCATGTCCTATCCCATCTCATTCAAAGTCAACAACCTTAATTAATGCATATTAAACCCACCATAACTATGCAAATAACTCATTAATTCTATTTAAGTCTATCTAAAACTACTCATATATAAAATTAATACATTTTTTATCAGTTATATAAAATTAATGCATTTATGAAAGGATTTGAGCCCAAATTGCATATTTAAATATAGTTCATTTACTAAAACACCCCCTATGGGTTTATTAAAACCTACCTTATGCATTTTACTAAAGCACCCCCTATAGTTTGCAATTGATTTGCTTAATTGACCTTCCATTAGATGATAGTGGAAAATATGGTTTTCGAACCGCCATTGACCCAGATAGTCAGACTATTCAGTCTGGGAACCATCCAGGCAACCGATTCTATTTTACCCCAAACCCGGTCCTTGACTAAAAATCGTTGAATCAGTCAATGACCCACTGACTCAGGCAGTCAAACTGTCAACCCATTCAACGGGTTTGGCCATTTTTTATTTTTAATTATTATTTTTTATTTTTTTTTGTCGAAACGGGTCATCTGTTCGAACCTGACAGTCGAATTGTCAACCTAGAAGTAGTGGCCAGAACAGTTCCATTTCCAGGTCATTTTTTAAAACCATGGTGGAAAATGACAATTTTGACATTAATGTTCATTTGAATAAATTTAATCAAAAGAAAATAAAGACGAACATGGCATTTTTTGACCCTAATAAGACATGAATAACCATTCTATTTGGTTCTATTTGGTCAATTTTATTTTATATATGAAGAAATGTTAGAGGTACTTTTGGAATAAAAGTCATGTCCCATGCCCTTGGACATTTTCACTCAGTTTAGGTGATTATGTTACTATTTCTAGATGTCAAAACAAGCACTTCTTAGTAACAGGTGGATTAAGTAAATGGTTTACAAAAACTATATGGGGTGTTTTAGTAAAATAAAAATTATAGAATAAGTTTAAGTAAATTCATAAAACTATAGGGGATGTTCTAGTAAATGACCCTTTAATAGAAGTATTTTAACTAGCAAACTAGTATATGATATCTTGTAAATTTGAACCTTGGCGCAGTACGAAAACGAAACACGTTGAAAAAAGCTTCAAAGAAAAAGAGCTGAAGTCGAACTACCAGGAAGAAGAATTCTTCACTGAATAATTAAGAGAAAATTCAATATCAAAAACTATCTTAACCTTCCCCTAGCTACTCTTTATATAGACATATACCCTTATGACTCCTAAAAGAAAGTTTCCTAATCTATGAAAACACTCTATAATAGAATCCTACTAAAATTCCTCAAAAAGAAAGTCTTAATTGAGCAATCCTAATTTAAGAAAATACTCCATAATAGAATCCTATTAAAACCCTTCAATATGAAAGTCTTAATTGAATACAAATTTGAAATCTCGCTGATGGCACCAATTTGGTGAAAACGAACTAAGATAGAAATTCTGTGGTGATGCTATATCGGTAAATATTTACTAAGTTGGGTTGGTGGCATCATCTCTGCTTCTTATGTGTCTTAGAATGGTCTCAACTTGCATAGAACTTATTAGCTTCCTTCTGTGCTACATCATCATCTCCTTATATGTACTAAGAGGGGTCTTCGAACGAGAACGCATCGATTTCAACTCCTAAGCAAGTGCCTCAACTTGTCTTCTCAGCTCCACCACCTCTTCTTACATTTTGTTGTTGGGTTCCTACTCCATGATGTGAGATACTTGTTTCTTCTTACGAGTTATAATTCGAAGAATGATCAAATATGAGCTCTGATACGAAATGCCGTAGTACGGAAACAAAACATGTTGAGAAAAGCTTCAAAGAAAATAGTAGAAGTCGAACTACTAGAAAGAAGAGTTCTTCACTGAATAATTAAGAGAAAATTCAATATAAAAAAACTGTCTTATCCTTCCCTTAGCTACTCTTTATATAGGCATACACCCTTATGGCTCATATTCCTAATTTGAAAACACTCCATAATAGAATCTCACTAAAACTCCTTAAAAAAAGTCTTAATTGAGTAATCATAATCTAAGAAAACACTCCATAATAGAATCCTACTAAAACTCTTAAAAAAGAAAGTCCTGATTGAATGCAAATTTGAAATCTCGCTATAACGCTAACTTGATAATTACGAACTAAGATAAAAACTCTGCGATGACGCCAACTTGGTAAAAACAAACTAAGATAAAATTCTGTGATGATGCTATATCAGTAAATATTTACTAAGTTGGGTCGGTAGCGTCATCTATGCTTCTTATGTGTCTTGGAATGGTACCAACTTGCATAGAACTTATTAGCTTCATTCTGTGTTGCATCATCCTCATGTACTAAAATGGATTTTCAAAAACCAAGTTTGTAAATGTTTACTCAATTGGTCCGAATCCCATACTGCATCAAACCTTTAATAAGCAATCATATTATATCCATATTTGAACCTCATTTATTCTCTTCTTTTTTTTTTTTTTTTGAAGAAAAACTTTAAGACTAATTCATTGCATCAAATCATTTCTAAGAACAAGTTTGAGAAAATTAGTAGGTAAAGACTAAGTGGTAGTTCTTTGAACATTATATCCAAATGTCAAGCAACCTTGGAATAGTACCTTGTTATTGGTAATGAATGATTGAGTTAAAAATGCCTAACAACCTTAGGAGGTTGATAATGTTTAGCACATCTCCCTCAAATAGGAATTTTGTTATGACCACTACTCGAGCATAATTAGACTAGTTCTAAATACTTTTGCTTCTATAATCTATAACCTTAGGGTATTCGACAATATGGTTGGTTTTGTTTTTGAAAACAAAAACGTGGTTGTTTTTTTTTTTCAAAATCAAAATCGATGTCCAACACCCCCTTAGTTATCCATTTAATATTATTTTTGGTGGCTAATTTCATAAGAGAATTCAAGTTTACTACTATGACATATCATCATTGTTTATTAAATTTAGTATATTTTAAAATCCGCAACCATCTTATATATAATTATTAATGAGATCTATAATTAGGGCTATTCCCAAAATGTTGCAAACCAACCAAACTAGACACTCTAGACCGATTTAATACGAGATGGTAGAACATGGTTGGTTTCGGTTTAGAAAACATTAGAAACCTATAAATCAGTTCGGTTGCGGGTTTTGCGGCTTTTGTCTTTTTTAAGCTGAATTAAATTGACCCGAACCAAGGTTTAAAATATTGATACACTTGATATGTTGATAGGGGCGTATCAGGCAATATCAATACTTTTTTTTTTTTTACATTTTTTCAGAACCGATTCAGGGGGCGATTTAAGGCTCCTCCACCCTCTGAACCGGTAAGGATCCCGATACACCCTCTATAGAAGCATATTGAGGAGCTCCCAGAATGATACATATCAACCATACGAACTAATACGTGTTGATAATTTGAACCTTGACCCTAATTGATATAGCCTAATGTGATAATATCCTAGACTTTCCTATTATGTTTTTTTTTTTTCTTTTTCTATTTCTTATCATACAAAATATTTACAAGAACGCAAAATATAAAAAAAAAAAATTACTGAAAATCGAAAAATCCTAACCAGAGAGACTCAGGTAAACAGCAGCACCAACGCCGAGAGCATAAACGCCCATCACTGCTCCCACTAAATCCTTCCCCAACCGAGTTGCCATACCGATTCCGGCGATTCCAGCGATCCCAATAGGAATCGTCTGAACCACTGCTTTCCCAGCGTTGGAAACGATGGCATCCCTGAAGAGCTCCACGGCGAAGGCCTTAAACTCCGAAGGACCCAGAGTTTCTCCATCGCTGGAATGGTCCGTGGACCGTTCGATCACGATCTTGAAAGCCCTGTGGACCTGGGTTCTAGCAGGAGGGGATGGGACCCACTTCTTCACGAGAGGGTGGACGGTGGAGAGGTTCAGATGGAGGCGTTCGGAAGCGCCGTCGAGCTGGTAAGGTCGTACACCGGAGAAGGCATGTTGGGAGAGATCCAGGCACTCATCGTAGACGGAATTGCAAGCGGCATCGAAGTCCGGCGAGTTCCGCAGGGCTTGCTCCACTCTCTTCGATGCCGACAAACCCATCGCAGAGAGAGAGAGAGAGAGAGGCTTTAATTATCTGCTATTAGAAAGTCGATAGGCCTTGTTTTAGAGTTCAGAAGAAAGGGCTAAAGGGTCGTGATGGTATCGCCGTTGGGAAGACGACGCAGGCTATCCTCTTCATAAGAATCATAACCGTTGGATTGGGATTTATTATCTTTGGGGGTTGGTGTAACCATCGATGCTTTCTTCCATTTCTGCCCCCGTGTTCCAACCTGGTTTTTCATTTTTGCCTCCAGGCAGGTGTCTATCGTTGTCCTCCCGGACCTCCGGTCATGGTTTTAAAACCGTCGTTGACTCAGGGTCGGACCGTTCGGGACCTTGATGGTCTGACTGCTGAACTGTTAAACTCGGCTGAACCATTCAACTCGGACAACAGTTCATGGTTTATAAAATTTTCAAAAAAATAAAATAATAAAACAGAGAAAAATAAAATGAAAAGAGAACCATATGAGGTCAGAGAGAGATGATATCTACCATCATTGTCATCTTCGTCGTTGCCACTATAGGTCGCTGTCGCCATCACCGCTACAAGTCACCTTATTCTTCTTATTCTTCTTTTTTTTCTAAGTTTCTCGGTCGACAATCCACTTCTCTCTCATTCTAAACCCCCTTCTCATAAGTAATAACATTGATATCCATCTTACTGTAATCCAATCCAATGGGTAAAATGAGATATACATGATTTTAAGCTTTTCATTATTAAAACGTTCAAGTTAGTTGACCTGGATGGTCGAATTAATGACCAAAAACCACTGGCCGAAGTAGTTCTGTTTTTGGATCGATTTTTAAAACCTTGGTCCTAGTGTTTTCGTCAATGTTTTCAACCCACCATTAATCCAAATGGTCAAACCATTTAAACCCTCACTCCTCAATAATTCTAAATCCTTTTTTTTTTTTTTTTTACTTTCAAATTTGGGAACCAAAAAATCATTAATCCATTCAATCCAGTCACTGGGTCACAGGTTGCATATTAAATATATATGCAAACTTTTAGATGCATGACCCATTTGAGACCTAAGGGAGTCAAAGGCACTTTGTCCCACTATTTTTGCCAAAAGAGCTTTTTTGGCATTGAATCCCAATTTTATCATTTTTTATAAATAAAAATACAAATTAAATATAAAATAATACTTATATACACATATTTTGTGTAGAATATACATACATTATTTTGTTAATATAATACATGTTTATATACTTATACACACATTAACAACATTAATCTTTTACCTCAGAACTCCTAGCGAACTGAACCGGACATAAAACCAAAAAAGGGAAAGGTTCACGGGACAGATGTTCAACCACGATCAAACCGAAAGATGAACTGTGATGATGGAATATACATATATAGGTGATATAAATACTTAATCATATATTCTATAAATATTATTACAATTGCATGTCGTGTATTAAAGTAATAATAAACAAGAAGTCTTAGGTTCAACCTTGTTATTAACATTTTGAAGTTTCTATACATGTTAATGACGCGTGTGATTATATAAAACTAAGACCGATTCACCGGATTTTTGGTTAAATGGTCAGCTAGTTTTTCATGAATTACGGTTTCAATGTATGATCGAACCGATCAAAGAGAGAGGTCATGGTTAAACCAGTTTGACCACCCATGCCAGTCCAGTCCGATTTTCTAACAATGCTCTTAGCCCCTCTTCTTTATACCTTTTCAAGCTCTCTCAAGTTACCACCTCGATAGACCCCTTTCCCTTTTGTTAGGAAACTCCCTTTCCCACCCACTAATTTAGAATTTTTCACCAACAACTTAGGTGCAGTTTTCATTCTTAGGATTTACCCACCTACTAATTTAGGAACTCTCTTTCACGTAGGAAATGGAAAAATAAGAAAAAAAAAGGTGTCCGAGAATTACCTAAATGGTGGGGTGAATTGGGTGGAGATCTAAAAAATATGATTGTATTAGAATTCAATTCGAATTCACAGATTTTCAACAGATGATACACAACCAAAGATTAAAGGCTTAATCAATAAGGTTCAGCAGCTAACCAAGATAAATGATTGATGAAACCAAACAATTGAATTGACAAACCTACAACTACAAACAAATCAATAGGTAAGGTAATAGCATGAGATGCAAGGGGGTTGGTAGTCATCAATTAAGCATAGTAATAATAACGATGATGAAGGGTGATTTGGTACGACTGAAGGACATGTGGACCCGACCTGCCAGTAGGATGACAATTCAGCGCGAAGTGTCATGTTAGCAAATTGGGGAGCTCGGGTGCTTGGTCACCTCAGAACCAAAATCACTTCGGTACCCGTGTACCGAAGTGCTACAAAATTGATTCTAGAACCTTCTCAACAAATCTTGAACCACCTGGGATCACGCCACGTAACTGTAGGCCTTATCCTCTCCCACTCGAATTGGAGGGAAATGATAAACCTCATTAACTGATATGTTACTCTCCTCCTAAAGCGGAACGGATCCCTACTACATGGGTTGAGGATCCCGGATCCGTTTCGTGAGATCCACGACAGTCCAACTATACGTGCGATTACTTGCTCACTAGCCTACTAGCTTACTAGCTTTTAGCTCGCACAACTCAATACTAACTTAAGCATCGGAGTAACCTCGTCGGGTTAGCCACCTCGGGTTCTATGATCCTTCGTCTTGCAACTTGGTCCAGCTCGCTACGCGGCTAAGGTCTAGGTCTTCTTCCAGCTAGGAGCTTCTAGATCACGCACAATCAATTGGTGCCGTTTGTGGGAACCGATCGAAAAGTCAGCACTACATCTCATCAACCACCTCATTCAGTCTCAATGGCATCTTCCAACAACACCGGTAAGGACAGTTTACCATCCCCCTCACTACTTCGGGGATCCCCTCTCTGTTAGTGCCACAGACAACCCAGCAGGTGAATGTCCCGCTTCCCCAAGTGAACACCACTTTTTCGGAGCCTTCGGTGATTCCTCATGGGGTCAGGCATTCTCAGTTCGATGACCTTGTTTAGAGCATCAGGACGATGCAGATCTGGATGTAGTAGATCCACCAGTTCCAGCAATTTCAATAGTATTATTTCTGCCAACAATACCAACAACAGTTTCCACCACTACAGCCAAGCCAACAGCAGATTCCACTGCAACAAACAAGTCAGTACCAAGGACAAACTCAAAACCAAAACCAGCATAAGGCCCATCAGAATGTCTGTCGATCTCCCCATCGGGGTGAGGGGACCTCGCAGGTATCGGTCCCTCCCAGGGGTCGGACCCCACCTCGGGGCAGGACAGACGGACAACACTCTCCCCCAGTCTCTCAAAGGGGGAACCCCAAAGATAGGCCCGAAGTCAACCAGCCCAAGAGGGTCAATCAGCAGCAACATTCGCAGCCGGAGAACAACGGGTCATGACGTGATGATCATCAGCTCGGGGCCCAAGGCGTAGGCTCAAGACAAGACCCCTCTGTGGCCCACAACAGCCAATGCCGGTCTCAGAACCAAGAGGAAGTAGTAGGAAGGAACCCTGATCCACTTCGCAACAGTGTTTGGGAGCGAGAGCAAACTAGAATTGAAGTGCTTGATCATACGGAAGTCAGCAGTACCAATGCCGAGCCAACAAAGAAGCAGCAGCAGCGGTGTCGCAAGACTCACCGTTCCTCAACTAGGAACAACCCGCCGACAAAGAACAGTCAGCCGTTGGAGCAGAGCAAGGAAAGAGAAGAGGTAAGCTTGGTAGCTACGCGAACGGCCCCAGCTTTGTTGAGTCGGCCATCCCCCTTGTCACCTGAGCTACTGGTGGTCCCAATGCCAAAGGATTTCAAGGTACCTCTGTTGGACAAGTACGATGGATCTTACAATCCCAACGATCATGTAGACAGTTCCAGTCTCAGATGCATCTCATCGGGGCAGACGAAGCATGTATGTGTGTGGCTTTCTCCACCACCTTCAAGGGCTTAGTCCGAACTTGGTACAGGAACCTCGCGCCAGGCTCCATCAAGAGTTGGGCACAGTTTGTAGACATGTTCACGACCCACTTCATCACTAGTAAGAAGTGCCTGAAGTCATAGGAAAGCCTTCTAAACGTGGTGCAGATGGAAGGAAGGTACGAGCAGCGACAAACACAAAAGAAAGAAGAGCAAGTCACCAAGGAGAAGAAGTCACCTTGCTCAAGGAGTAAGTCCCTCTCCCGAAGCTACAGGTCGGGTCGGCGATCCAGGACCCCCCTGTAGAGAGAACCAACTATACTCCCCTCAACGCGAAGCAATGAGAGATCCTAATGGCAATTAAGGACTCCTCCTTTGTCAAGTGGCCACCTAGGCTACGGGGAGACCCAATGACCAGGAACCCGAATGTTTATTGTCACTTTCATCGGGACCATGGTCACAATATAGAGAATTACCAGAACCTCCGTGACGAGATCGAGGATCTCATTCACCGCGGATACCTGAAGAGCTATATTTTTGTGCGAGGAGAAAGGGCGGGGAGACCGACAGGGAGATCATAGGAGAGACACCCCAGAGTCAAGCAGACAGAACGAGCAGCCACCTTGGTAGCTACCTGAAGAGAGATCGATATGCAAGGTGATCAACATGACCGCTGGTGGATCCATTATAGCAGGGTGCACTACAACAACAGGGAAGACCTCAGTCAGTGAACTGGAACATGAAGCAGAAAACCTACCAAAGCGACCTCAGGTAGAAGAGCCCATTTACTTCACCGAGGATGATGCGCGTGGGATACAGTATCCTCATGACGATGCCCTCATTGTGAAGCTCATCATCAATGACTTCGAAGTGAAGCAGATCTTGGTGGACTTAGGCAGTTCGGCCTACATCCTATTCAAAGGGACCTTCAACAGATTACAGTTGTAGAAAAGCAACTTGAAACCGACAAATGCGCCCCTGGTGGGGTTCAACGGTGAGGAAGTCAGACCTCTTGGCCGAGTCACAGTACTAGTAGAGGCAAGAACATGGCCAAACATAGTGCGATTTGAGCATACCTTCTGGTGGTCGTGACTCCGTTCCCCTACAACGCGATCATAGGTCGGCCCATCACGCACGTCTTACGTGCAATAGTATCAACATACTATTTGGTAATGAAGTTCCCGACGGATTATGGAGTAGGGGTTGCATGAGGCGATCAGCTCGAGTCCCGCAAGTACTACGTGGTTGCCCTAAAAGGAAAGGCGAAACTAGTGGAAGAAATGCCCGGATAAGCGAATCACTTCGTACACTAGTAAATTTCCTACTTAATAATTTAGATGTTTTTGCCTGGTCTGCAGTACAAGTGCCCAACATCGACCCTGGTGTGATTACTCACAAGTTAAATGTGGACCCTTTAGTCAGGCCAATTAGACAAAGAAAACGCAACCTCGCCCCAGAGCGATGGAGGGTAGTCGATGAGGAGGTCGAGAAGCTCCTCGCCACAGAATTTGTCAAGGAGGTCCATTACCCGAGCTAGGTCGCAAACCCCGTGTTGGTGAAGAAGGCCAATGGAAAGTGGTGCATGTGCGTCGACAACACCGACCTGAACAGAGCCTGCCTAAAGGACTACTTCCCCCTTCTCAAAATAGACCGCCTGGTAGACGCGACCTCGGGGCACGAGTTGCTGAGCTTCATGGATGCCTACTTCGGCTACAACCAGATTAGGATGGACATAGCTAATCAAGATAAGACTACCTTTGTAACTGAGCTCGGGCTGTACTGTTATAAAGTCATGCCCTTTGGTTTGAAAAATGCTAGAACAACTTTTCAACGACTTGTAAATAAAATTTTTGAACATTTGATTGGCAATAAAATTGAGTCTTATGTTAACGACATGGTCGTGAAGGCCTAGTTTTCCAACTCTTTAATTGATGAATTAAATATGGTTTTTCAAATTCTAAGGAAATTTAACACGAAACTTAACCCGAACAAGTGCGTCTTTGGGGTCACGTCGGGCAAGTTCCTCAGTTACATAGTGAACCGACGTGGTATCGAAGCCAATCCTGATAAAATTAAGGTCATATTAGATATGAGACCGCCTTGAAAGATAAAGGAAGTCCAAAGGCTAACTAGCTGGGTAGCTGCCCTAAACCGGTTTATGTCTAAATTGGCGGGTCGGTGCCTACCTTTCTTTAAGGTGATAAAAAAGAATGAAGACTTTGCATGGACCGAAGAGTGCTAGCTCACGTTTAATGAGCTGAAAAGGTACCTGAGTACTGCCCCGATTTTAACTTGACCAGAGGAAGGAGATGAATTGAAGTTGTACCTCTTCGCTAGTGATGAGGTTGTCAGCTCAGTACTAATCAGAGAAGTAGACCGGGTCCAATGACCAGTCTACTATGTAAGTAAAGTTTTGCGGGACGCGAAAGCTAGATATCCAGACATCGAGAAGCTGGCGTACGCGGTAGTAGTAGTAGCTCAAAAACTACGCCCGTACATCCAAGCCCACACCATTGTCGTCCTTACCAACAGACCTCTGAGGCACATTTTGCTTAAGCTCAAGGTATTAAGGAGATTGATGAAGTGGTCCATTGAGCTGAGCAAGTATGATATCCGGTTTGAGCCACATCCAACAGTCAAAGCCCAAGTCTTGGCGGATTTCGTAGCAGAATGTACGTTCAACACACTGGCCCCTGAACCGATTAAGCCCCTAACGTGTTGGAAGCGTCAATCAGCGTGGCACCGGTCTCGGTCAGGGTAGGACCGACATCGTCTAACCAATGAGGAAGTGGTGCTAGACTGATACTATACAGCTCAAGCGAGGTGAAGCTGGAGTACGCGACCTGCCAGCAGTAGTAAACCAAATCAACGGAGGAGTATGTGCACTAATTGCCGGGCTAAACCTAGCGAAGGAGATGGGTGTAAAACACCTCGTCGTGTGCAGTGACTCGCAGCTGGTAGTAAACCAAATCAACGACAACTACGAAGCTTGCAACTCAACCATGGAAGCCTACCTGGCCAAAGTCAGAGAAATCCTACTAGACTTTTGTTCTTGCTTCATTAGGCAGATACCGAGGTCTGAGAACACTAAGGCCAATGCCCTGTCACGATTGACAAGTACTAGCGACAACACACTGCGAACTGTATATATAGAAGACCTGCCTTGGCCCAACATTCTTGGGCGGGGTGGGGGGGAGAAGAAGTCACTCCCGTGTTGCAAGTAGAACCGAGCTGGATTGACTCGCTTGTTGATTATCTGCTCCACAGGACCCTACCAGCAGAATGCAATGCAGCTCGGAGGGTAGAGCGTTAAACAGCTCAGTACGTCCTAGTAGTCGGACGATTGTATAAGAGGTCCTTTACGCTCTTGCGACCTTCAGAAGCTGAACTAGTACTTCGGGACATCCATGAAGGACTATGCGGAGGACAGTTGGGGGGTAGAGTGCTCGCCCAAAAAGCGCTAAGGCAGGGCTACTATTGACTTACCATGAAGTAGACGCACTCGAGCTCGTTAAGAAATGCGACAAATGTTAGAGGCACGCCAACATCCTCCATCAACCTTCTACCGATCTGAAGTACCTGACCAGCTCATGGCCCTTCGTGTAGTGGGGGATCGACATCCTTGGTCCATTTCCGCCGACAACCGGGCAGAGGAAATTTTTGGTTGTAGTAGTGGACTACTTCACAAAGTGGGTGGAGGTAAATATTGCAGCCCGGAATGTGCAAAAATTATTCTGGAAGAACATTGTGTGTCATTTTAGACTGCCCAAGGTGCTGATATCGGACAACGAGAAGCAGTTCAAATACATCAAATTCCAAAATTGGTGTGTTGAGATGTGGATTCAACAAAACTTCACTTCGGCAGCACACCCACAGGTGAACGGACAGGCCAAAGTGATTAACAAGGCTATCCTCCGTAAACTGAAAACTCGCCTAGAGCGAGCTAAAGGGTTGTGGGTGGACGAGTTGCCCAGTGTCCTTTGGGCCTACAGGACGACCATCAAGACTATGACCAGTGAAACACCCTTCAACCTCACATATGGAACGAAGGTCGTGGTTTGAGCGGAGATCAAAGTACCAACGTTGCGGCTTGAAGCATACGACGAAGAGGGGAACGACGACAAGCTTCGGACCAACTTGGACTTGATCGAAGAAGTATGTGACTTGGCCTATATCCAGACTACGGCCTACCAGCAGCGGGTATCTCGGTATTATAATGCCTGGGTCAATAAACGACAGTTTCGAGTTGGTGACCTGGTGCTCCATAAGGTAATGGTACGTGAGCCCGGCATAGGTAAGCTCGGTCCAAACTAGGAAGGTCCATATCGGGTGAGACGAGTGTTCAGAGATGGCACATACGAGCTCGAGACCATGGAGGGGAAACAAGTACCTCGAGCTTGGAACATTGACAACTTGAGAAGATACTATCTATGAGTTTGCGACTCCAACACAACCAAAAATTTACTAAGTTCATAAGACCACAGAGCTGGTCAGAAGGGTGTCAAGCTGAAGAGAGGACCGTAAGTCATTCCCAGAGCCTAAGGGCTATAGTGTCGATCTGACAAAAGACTTTGGCATGATATTAGACCTAATCGTCTCTTCGGCATGGGCAGATAAGTCCTAGTCGCCTCTTCGACATAAGCGCACTAAGACCCAGTCGCCTCTTCGACATAGGCGCGCTAAGACCCAGTCGCCTCTTTGGCATGGGCAACCTATGACCTAGTCGCTTCAGCATAGGCAACCTAAGACCTAGTCGTTTTGGCAAAGACAACCAAAAATCCAATCGCTTCAGCATGGGTAAATAAAAGAATAGATCATGCGCAGACAAGGCGGGCATATACCCTACAATGTTTGTTCACTTCCGTGTACAGCAACATCGGGTTATTCTTACTTAGGCCTAGCTCGTCAGCTCGACACTTCGAAAGTAATCTATACTTAGAAAATCACTACAAGAAAAACCATTTTTAGCCACGGTTTTTCCGGCAATCGACAAAATACCGTGGCTAAAAGCACTATATATAGCAACGGAATATACCATCCGTGGCAATATTCCCGTTTTTTGTATTCAACGTGGCCATGGTTTCCTAACCGTGGCTTAAATATAATTTATTTAGAAGGTTTTTAATTTAACCGTTGAAATACACCTATATTGAGAAAATTAAGCCGTGGCAATTTAATTCGTGCGGGTTCTAAAACTTTTGCGCTCATTCTTGCTCCCGCGTCAGCTCTCTTTTTCTCTCTCTCGCTTCCTCTTCTGTCGAACTCATTCTCACTCTCTCTGAAAAAGGGATTCATCATCAACAACGTTCATTTCTGGGCAGCTAAGAGAAACTCCTCTTCTCTCTTTCACTCTCTTCCCCCTATTTCTTTCTTGCATTGAGCTCTCACTTAGACGACACCAACAATGAAGCTGGCGTTAGGTAATCTCTCTATCGTCTCTGTCTCTCTCTCGTCCATGATAAATTTGGATTTGTCTCAGCTCTCCTTTCTTTTGGTCCAACTTCAAAATATCAAAAGCAAAATACATCTTAGCATCAAAACCCTAAGCCATGCCTCACTGCCTGCTAGAGTTTCTTCGCTTCGTGTATCACACTACCACTCTTCCAATCCCTCCCTGCTAACTCTTTCTCTCTCTCTCTCACTCGCACTAGTAGGTTCGTCTTTCCTTCTCTCCCTGCTAGGTTGTCTCTTCTTCAGAATGGAGGTATGCTGTCTATTTCTCTCCTAATCATTTCTTTTTGTTTTTTATCCAATTTGATTCTGAGGCATGTTTATTGAACCCGCATTGGACGTTGATTTTAATTATTATTATTATTATTTTTTTGTTTCGGTTTACAAGATTTATGAATGGAGGCTCAAAGAAGTGTATTGCATCTATTCTAAGCCGTGGAGGGGACCTTGTTCTAATCCATAGAGCATTGATTTCTCTGCTTGCACAGTTAAATGAACATGCCAAGCTCTCTATGCTGAGAAATGCCATGTGGACTCTACCAAATTTTTGCAGGGGCAAGCCACAACCACCTTTTGAGTAGGTGGGGGGTTTGACTTTCTTGCTGCAACTATGTGCAATTTTTCCTCTGGTTGCATTTTTATATTCTTAAATTGTTGAAATTCCTTTTGCAGACAAAGCCTACACTCCCAACTCTAGAGCGCCTAATTCATTCAAATGATGAAGAAGTTCTAACGGATGCATGTTGGGCACTTTCATATTTGTCTGATGGCACAAATGATAAAATTCGAGTTGTTATTGAGGTAGGGGTTTGTCCTTGATTTGTTGAACTATTGTTGTGAGTGTTGTAGTTAATTTTCATCTGACTGTGTTGTGTAGTTAATTGTCATGTTTCTCTGGCTTTATTGCTAATACATTTCTTACACAGGGAGGGCCCAAGGGTTTCTTATGGTCTTAACTGGGATCTTGCTGGAAGAGGGGTGATTGTTAAGGATAAAGCTTTTTTACAACCTAAGGTCTTTTGAGCTACAACAGAAAGGTGAAACCTTTGCAGGTATTTTGATCTTAACTTTGATTTCTAGCACTGGAAATGGATTGGTTCAAATCAGATATACCTAGTTCTGAATTTGATTTGTTAATATTCATTTTCAAATTGAATCTTATCCAATGAATTTGGATCAGGCCTGTATAGGATTCAAATATTGAATAATACTATTAGTAAAGTAAATCAAAATTATTATAATATTATATAATATTGATAAATAAATAAATTAACATGTATCTATTAGTGAAGTTGTATATTATGAATAAAATGATATGAAAATAACTTATACTACTAGAATTGAACCTTTGACTTTTTAGTAAACATAAATAGTCAAATTAACTTTACTAATAGATACATGTTAATTTTATGTAGAATATAGCATAGGTATTTATCCATTATTGGATTTGGACCAAATCGGATTTGGGCGGGCCCATATCTGATCCAATTATAAATGGATGGAATTCAGATCACCTTACTCAAATTGTATTCAAATTCTAACAAATTAATACCCTCCCAACCCCCTATATATCCCCTAGTTTGCCTAGTAAAAAAGTGACTGAATGAGTTAAAAGAGAATATTAATTGTTTGGACATTCAGGAATTCCCGGGCCCTCATAGTGGATTAATGGCAAGCCTACGTGATGTTTTTTGGTAAGTTTCATGGTTAAGTGAGAAGGTGGAGATGTAATGGAATTAATGGGTGTTCCAACAAAAAACATGTATATGATCCATGGAGAAAAGACATCAACTTACAGTTGTACTTATGTTTTCAACTTTTCAATTTGGTTGGCTCAGATTTTTGTTTTAATTTGGTCCAAAATTTAGGTTGAACCAAGCTGCTTGGTTTAATCTCACCACTTCTAAATGCATCCATGATGCTCTCAAATTTTTAAACCAACTTTTAGCAACAATAATGAGATAAAATAATAACTTCACACCACTAACAGACCTGTTTCAGCATACCACCACACAACATTTGAAATCTGGCTATAACTAACACAAACCACCAAACTCATCTACCACATTCACTGGCACTTTCCTCCTTGGTAACCAGAAATGCAGGGCTTGAAACACCACACACACCACTCTAAGTGACTATAACTGAACAAGAAATAGAAAAAGAACTTGTTCTTCTCTTGTACCCACAGAAGAATAACTATATCAGAAGAAAGTTTCAAGAAGAAACACTATTTCTCACTTGTGAATACTTCTATATGTGATGACACCCACTACAGGAAAACACTATAGTGATTTCCAAGGTAAGCTGCTTAGGTTCTGAGAACCTATGCTCTCTCTCCCCTTCTCTCTCTCTTTCTCTCTCTCTCACTATATATATATATATATTCTTTGATTCTTATTCTTAAATTCTTATTGCTTTAGGGAAAATATATTAAAAATATGCTTGCTAGTGCTTCACTGATTCAAGTAACTAGTTGCTTGAAAGAAATCAATATTATTAATTTTGTTGGTGGCAAGAAAGAAATTGGATATATAGCATGGTTCACTGATTCAGTCTCCTGATTACAGAGAGGACAAATCAGGTCAGGTAAGCTAGCACCTTTTTGACAAAGCATCTCTCTAGTCAGATACTTCTCCTATACCACTAGGTCGAACTGATTATGGAATAAATTAGAAGTCACTCATCCTCTAAACCAGTCGGCCCACTACTTATATTAGTGTAAATAAAAGGTTTTACAAAAATACCCTATTTATGATAAATTCTGGACAGGAGTACCCTGAATAAAAGAAAGGAAATACTAAGCTATCCTACTGCCCCAAATACAAGAAATCCGTTCCCCTCAAAAGTCTAGAAGAAATGCTACTTTAGCTGTAGCAGTTACAGCCAATTGCAGCAGAGGATGACAGAAGAATTTGGTGTTGGGATAGAAAAGGAACCTTCTTTGTCAAATCAGTGATGCAGAGCCTTAGTTTTGGCATCCCCTCCTTCCCATAAAATGTTATTTGGCCAAGAAAAGTCCCTTCAAAAGTGGTATTTTTGGTATGGACAGCAGCTTTTGGTATGTGTCTTACCAAAGACAAGCTGATTAGGAGGGGTATTCCTGTCACCTCCCCCAACTGCCCCCCTTGTGCAATTCTGATCAGGAAAAAGTAATCCATCTTTTCTTACACTGCTCAGTGAGCAGGCTTATTAGAATCATATGCTTGCCAATCTGCACCTGAACTGGGTATTCCCTAGCACCATTCTTGACTTCTTAAATGGCTAACACATTGATGAATGATGACCTTTCAATTAATGGTAAAATTATTGGGGGCGTGATCCCTGCAGCTGTGATTTGATCTATTTGGATAGAGAGGAATAGCAGAGTTTTTGAAGGAAAATCCTCTCAAACTGATGAAGTCATACACAATGTGTCAGCTAAAATCTTCTATTTGGCAACAGCTTCAAATCATTCAACTGACTCTCTCTTTTTTGTAATTACTTCTTATACTGATACTTTGCATGTTCTCTCCTCATGTATACCCAGTCTCTGTAATGGGTTTACCCCTTCAACTTTCTCTATCCTCGTGTTGTTCAATGATTTCACTCTCCTTTCTAAAAGCCCCCCTCTCTCATTCTAATGGTCCCTCTTTTATAGACCCAACCACCTGTCCATGTGGCAGTGTTTTAAAACATGAGAAGTTAAAATAACCTCCCCATTTTCTTGTACATGGGGTTAGGGGTAGTTATTTGACTTAAATAGCCTCCCAATAGGTGTCTCCACAAGGTATATGACACATAGCAAATAGGGGTTATTACAAATTTTGAGAAGTTTTTTTTTTTTTTTTTTGCTTCATACAAATTTTGAGAAGTTAAGTTTATGGAAATAGTAGAAGATCAAGACTGTAATCAGTCTTGAGTCCTAATAGGTTTTAGGTTTACAAAACAGAAGAAAAGTGAGAGAAAGGAGGAGGAATAGAAGAGAAACAGGAGAACACAAGG